ATTTGCAAAATTGAGACCACCCCAGCAAACCTTGAATTATTATTAATTTCAGTTAAAACATTATAATATTTTGTGGAGTGGAATCAATTAATTATAATTTACGCTCATTAGAAATACAATTTTTGAAACAACATTTAAAACACTTACTTGTTTTAAATACAATTTTGTCCACATATTAATCTCAAAGAAATTAGTAATTTTAATATTTTAGTAATTATAAATTATGCGGAATTAAATAATTATACCTTATGCTTATTAAAAATACAATTTTAGAAACAGTATTTAAAAACCTTTCATGTTTTAAGCACAATTTTGTCCAAATAATATAAATCTCAAAGATATTGATAATTTTAATAATTATAAATTATGTGTATAAGCAATGGGGAATTAAATAATTATACCTTATGCGTATTAAAAATACAATTTTTTTAAACAGTATTTAAAAACCTTACATGTTTTAAACACAATTTCGTCCAAATATTATAAATCTCAATGAAATAATACAGGGAGATTTTTATTGAATGTAATACAAAATTCAAAGTATCACTATCTGACAGAAAGTTGCTTTGTCTATTAAACTTTTATTTTATTTATAGCTTACAAATACACGTTACAAAGAGTCACTATCTAACCGACATTTGTTTTATCTATTAAACTTTTACTTTATAACTTATAAATGTACGTTACAAGGAGTCACTGTCTAACCCATAGTTGATTTGTCTAATAAACTTTTACGTTATTTATAATTTACTAATATAAGTTACAAAGAGTCACTATGTAACCGAAAATTGCCTTCTTTACTTAATTCGTGACTTTCAAAATTATGTTAGAACGTGTTACTAATTAAACGAAAATTGTCTTTACTATTGAAATTTTACTTTATTTATAACTTACAAATATACGTTACAAAAAGTCACTATCTAACCAAAAGTTGCTTTGTCCATTGAACTTCTTCTTTATTAATAATTTACAAATATACATTACACCAAATCATTATTTAATAAAAAGTGTTGCTATGTCTATCAAAATTTTACCTTATTAATAATTTTCAAATACACTTTACAAAGTATCACTATCTGACAGAAAGTTGCTTTGTCTATTAAACTTTTATTTTATTTATAGCTTACAAATACACGTTACAAAGAGTCACAATCTAACCGACATTTGTTTTATCTATTAAACTTTTACTTTATAACTTATAAATATACGTTACAAGGAGTCACTGTCTAACCCATAGTTGCTTTGTCTAATAAACTTTTACGTTATTTATAATTTACTAATATATGCTACAAAGACTCACTATCTAACCGAAAATTGCCTTCTTTACTTTATTCTTAACTTTCAAAATTATGTTAGAACGAGTTATTAATTAAACGAAAATTGTCTTGACTATTGAAATTTACTCTATTTATAACTTACAAATATACGTTACAAAAAGTCACTATCTAACCGAAAGTTGCTTTGTCCATTGAACTTCTTCTTTATTAGTAATATACAAATATACATTACACCAAATCATTATCTGACAAAAAGTGTTGCTATGTCTATCAAAATTTAACTTTATTAATAATTGTCAAATACACATTACAAAGTATCACTATCTGACAGAAAGTTGCTTTTCCAATTAAATTTTTATTTTATTTATAACTTATAAATATACGTTAAAAAAAATCACTAATTCACTGTAGGCTTCCTTGTCTATTAAACTTATACATTTTTTATTATTTGCGAATATACGTGACAAAAAGTCACTTTCTAACCGACAGCTACTTTGTCTATTAAACTTATACTTTATTTATGATTTACAAATATAAATACATAATTTACAAACATATTAGCTTGTACTTTACTTTTTAATTTTAATTTATTTATTTATAATTTTAATTTATTTACTTACAATTTTAATTTATTTATTTGTAATTTTAATACATTTATTTGTAATTTTAATTTATTTATTTATAATTTTAATTTATTTACTTATAATTTACAAACATACCTTACAAAGAGTCACTACCTCAACAAAAGTTGCTTTGTCTATTGAACTTTTGCTTAATAACTTACAAATGTATGTTACAAAGAGTTACAATCCCACGAAAGGTTGCTTTGCCAATTAAACTTTTACTTTGTTTATAACTTACAAATATGCGAAACGAAGAGAATTATCTAACCGAAAATTGCTTTGCTTGTATTATTTATAACTAAGAGTTACCACTAACAGTTAGCATTTAAAAGAAAGTTGCTTTTTCTACTAAATTTTTACTTCATTTATGATTTACAAAATTGCTTTGCTTACGTTTTAATGACTTTAAAAAAAAGTTAGAAAGAATCCCTATCTTAACAAAAGTTGCCTTCTCTATTAAACTTTTACTTTATTTATAACTTACAAATATACGTTACAAAGAGCCACTATCTAACCGAAAGTTGCATTGTCTATTTATATTTATTTATTTTTGTACCGGTTGACAAACATCTCCTTTTTCATTTAGAGTCGATGGAGCGGGTATTCACCTATCTCCTTTTTTTACACACAGTTTATTTTATTCATTTATGTGTTCACAACCTTGAACGAAAAGTAATGATATCAAATTAACTATCTTGTTTCGCAATTTGCACCATAGAATCTCTAAAATGTAATTTATGGTTTTGCTTTTTCGGCATTTAGGTTAGGAGAGAAAGGGGTTAAGTTCTATCTCAAGTAACCCAATCTTGCAGATATGTTACACCATGGACCAGGAAGATTGAAAATGATATAACACGTGGTGAGAACAATAATAGAAGGTTAGGGGTCGACAAAGATCATGGCATTCACGTTTGACACACACCCTAACCCTTTTTTTAGCATACCATAAGTAGAAGTTTATAACTTAATAATGCTACGTTTCAGCTTTATGAGCACGCATTTTTAAAAATAAAAATGATTTATATTTATGTTTTATGCAGTAAATACAGCTTCGTAAACATGTGAAAAGTATTTTTTAAACTGTCCGTGAAAACATTCTTGATACTATGTAAGAAATGAAACATAAACATCGTTATAAGCAGGAATGTATAAAATAAAACTAACTTCTTCTAAGTTTATTTTGTTCTTTGTTTATCACTTTTTATTCTTTATATATGTCAAAAATATCATTAAAAAAAACTACTATTATTTCTTTAATTTCTGTTTTTCTTTTTATATTATCTTTGGGACTTTATTCATTACATATTGATCTCGTTTCTACTTTCATAAATAAATGAATATTGTTTTACTTTTAATTGAATTTTTCATTTTTTATGAATTATAAATCATAAAAAAATCCTAGATATAAAAAAATTGTATTTTACCTTTAGCAATCTCTAATCAAACTGTTAAGAACTTCACTGTTAAAAAATTCTTATTAAAGATGATTAAATAGCAATTTGTTTAATTGTTATTTTATCATATTCAACCAAAGCAGTCAAACAATAAAAACTGACATTCAAACTGTTAAGTATGAGAAAAAACGTTTATTGATTGTTTTTAAACCAGAATTCTATTCGCACCAACAAGGTCCATCTTATGAAGCCTGGCCCACAGAGCTACAATGTCCGTTGAAGTTTTATTTTTATTTTTTAGAAACTATGCTAGTCGTAAATAGTTACATTTTTTTCTGTAGTATAGTTAATCTAAATGCATAACTTTTTAAAATACCATGCAAGTTCTGGATTCGGTTTTGTATTCATGGTTTTTTTACTGTACCATTTGCAAACGCTTTCAAAACGGTTCCACTATCCATGAACTTTATGGTTAATCAAATGGACAGACTGCTGCCTACTATTTTACTGTAATTTCATAATGAAAATTCTAACTGTGTAAATAAAAATAATATTAATATACGGTGCAAATTATTTGGGATAAAATAAAAATCATTCTTTTTCAAAACAATACTGCATTCGCTATTATTATGACTATATATATAATGAAAACGTTTAAAAAAGTTTTCGCGTTATTGATTTTTCGTGCTATTGATTAAATATATTGACTACGATGTTGACTAAGAATTTCCTCATTTTACAGCTAATAAACACACTATTATATATATACATACATATTAAACTTAATTGTCATATTGTGTACCCCCTAACAATCCTATAATTATTTCCTCTGGTAGTGTACACTAGTATTCGGAAATATAGTACGTGGTCCAATATAAATATTATTGGTCAATATTAAGGTACGATATCGGACCATGTGTTAAAACAGAATATTGACTTCAAATTTCCTCATTTTAACGCTATTCAACACACTATTATATTTATACACACATAGTAAACTATATGGCAACATTGTGTCCCTCCTAATAAGCCTATAATTACTTCCTCTAGTAGTGTACATTAGTGCTTAGAAATATAATGCGTGGTACAATATAAATATTATGGGTCAATATTAAGGTACGATATCGGGCTATGTGTTGAAACAGAATTCTTGATTTTCTTGATTTTATCAACGTTGAACTAAACTTTGATATCATTGTTGATCACATTTTTTTCTGTAGTATAGTTAATCTAAATGCATAACTTTTTAAAATACCATGCAAGTTCTGAATTCGATTTGAATCTTGTGAATTTCCATTTTAATCAAAAAATTTCTATTTGATTATCTAGTTTGAACCTTTTGACCAAATTTAAACTATGACAGGAGGTCAAGCCAGCTTTAAATAATCCGCCTAACGTCTGGAAATAAATAATTATTCATAGAATTCCTTATGTCTCTTAAATAGAAACTAATATGTGAGAGTCATTTGCACCCCCCCCCCCAAAAAAAAAATTCCAAAGCATTTGTTTCAAGCAGTGATTTACAGTTTATCGAACGTGCTTAAGTTTTAAAAAACCAATAATGTGCTTTAACGGAAATTAATACTTCAGTCCTATTTGCCGAAAAAAAAATCCGAAAATATACCAGTTTCAAATGGAATGGTGCTTTTGAATATATTTAGGTTTAACAACTAAACTAAAATTCTAACTACATAAGAGAAACTTACATATCAATTCAGTTTGACTGGGATTTTTCATTCTGAAAAGAAAATAAAGGAGTTTAGTAGAATTCATAAAGATTCAGTTTCTTAAAAATAGTTCCACGTGAGAAAGATTTACACATTACTACACAATGTGCATCATAACAATAAAAAAATTGAGCAAGTTACTTTTTTAAAAATAATTGCTATAAAATATTAAAATGCATTATAAAATTAAAATGCAATTGATACAAATCTATCCAAATCACTCTTAGCTTTTCGGAACGAAATTAAATTTTTTTTAAATATATGAAATTTTCTTCAAACATTTAGCTGAAAACTTCATAAAATCATTAAAATATAATAAAATCTAGTTAGTGATGTTTTAAATTAAAAGTCTTGAATATTTCCCTGAATATTGAGTTATGTAATGTAGAAAAACATTAAATCATAATAACGTTTTGATATGAATTCTAAAAATCTATTATGTGTGTTTTTTGAAGGTTGAAAGCTTTCGTTACTTAATTTTTTATCATATTTTACTATATTCAATTTGAAATTTTAGCTATGAAATAAAAAAACTATTGAAAATGTAAAGGCATTATAATGTGGCACATAAAACTCCTTTACATATATATTTCGTGTTTTTGAAGCTCTTTTAATGCATTTTTCGTAGCAAATATCAGCTTTGAAAATTCAATTTCAAACTTTAAATACTATAGCACCACTAGCATTCTATCGTGTCAAATAAGACAAAATAAAATGAGAAATAAGTTGAAAATACACTGAGAAAAAAAAGTATGGTACCAGAATATGTTATAATTACCAGAATATATGTTATAAGTACCAGGATATATTACAATTTACCGTATTTCTGACTCTACAGGAACACCAAAAAGCTTGGTAATTTTTACCGAAGCTCTTTGGTAATGATTTGCAGCAAAATATGGCTTGTGATATATGATAAAGATTGGTAGATGCATTTAAATTTAGTAATTTTTACGTGATACTTAAGAGCATGGCATAGAAACCATTTCCTCGGTAAAATTCACATTTCAGTTATACTAAGAAAGTTTAGTTTTGTGTTTTTTATTTTGAAAATTATAATTTCTGGCGAACCATTATCATATGAACGACCAACTTTATTCTTTAAATATCGTATATTTTTGTTTTATTAACCAAAAAGGTGTTTTTCTAACCAGAATTTTCCAAGAATTTTTCTCCATCTAGTTAGTTTTCTAAGTTTTTGTTTCATTCCTACAAATAGTTCCACTTCCATTGCTAATAATTGGAGCTATTCTTATTCCCGCTTTCTGATAGTAATTAAAATTGCCGGAAGTTTTTGTTCAAATTCTGAATGTTGAGTAATTGACAGCAAGAAACTTGTAGCCTTTAAACAAAACTGTAAACTTTTGATAGTTACATAACTTTAAGCCTAAAGCTAATGCTTTACAAGTACTCAACCCACCAATCTTGTTCTGGTTCACAGACTAAATTGTTTACTTTGACCCTATTTTTAGATATTTATCGCTTTTTCTTCTCTCAATGAGTCGAATTTTCAAAACGATCTCTAAGTATCTTCTAAAACACTGTTTGAAATTATGAATCACGCAAATACAAATATCTTGCAAATTGAACCATGTAAACCTTGATTACTCAATATTGTTGTTCAACTTGGATGAAAATTTGGCTTAATTTAGCACCATATTAAAATTTCAATAAATTTGTACTATATAAGGTTCAACTTAGATCAAATGTTTATGAGTTGAGTTTAGAGCGAAGTTAAAATACTATTTTTACATTCATATAACGGTTGATATTTGCTTTTGAAAATATTTTACTCGATTACTCGATATTGTGGTTCAGAATGAGCAGGAACATGGTTTAATTTAGCAACACAATAAGACTGCAGCTATTTGCGTGATATTATAGTTCAACTAAAACAGATATTTCTGAGAATGCACTGTTGTCAGTATTTTTAAGTTTTTCTAATGACTACTTCTTTTTTGAAATATTTTTCGTTGTTACTCGATATTGTGGTTCAGATTGAAGGAAACATGGTTCAATCACTATGTCACTACTACAGAAATATTTCATCGATATTAGGGTTAGAATTAGATAAGATATTTATAAGGCTGCTGTGAAGTTTAAATATTGTTTTTAAACTTCACAGCGTTCACACGTTTGTTACTGTTCAGTTTTGAAACATTTCATTTTGTTACTCAATACTGAATGTTACTTCCTTGAAAATATTTACTCGATTACTCGATATCGTAGTTCAGATTGAACTGTAACATGGTTTAATTATGATTATTACTGCAAATTTGCACGATATTATGGTTCAAATTATAGTTAATGCTCAATAAATTTCACTCTTATTGTACAAAAATAATAAGCTTGGAAATATTCGCACTCGTAATTCTCAAGTTTACACACAGTATGTATAATTATTATCTCTATTTTTCGATTAAAAAATAAAAAAGAATTTTCTATCATCATTACATATCAAAGCAACTATATGCAAAGTGTAGTAGTTTTAAAACTAAATAACATTTTGGTTCCGTACAAGATATTACTTGGTGAAATAATTAAATATGTTAAATTAGATATTTACATACAAGTATTATTAATTAGTTAAACTTTGGATTAATGTCAAGAAATTTTTCTTGTTAAATTACCATAGTGACATTTCTGGTAAAAAACAATATAATTTTGGTAATAGAATCAAAATATAAGGTATTTAAGCCATTCATTTGAAAAAATTTCCGTTCATATGGTAATAATTTACCATAAATTCTGGTTTTCAAAATTATTTTTTTTATTTATACACGTTTAGTAACAATACGAAACAGAAAAGTAAATTTAATCGAATAAATGGGTTTTTTTTGCTATGTCTTAAGGTATCATGATAAAATTACTACTAGAATTTACTACATTTACCAAAATTTTTAACGCGTTATAAAATCATATTTTATTGTTAATTTTACCAAAATCATTGCTTCGGTAAAAATTACCGTGCTTTTTGGTCTCTCGTTAGAGATGCGGAAAAAAAACCTATGCCAAAAATGCGGAAAATTTTAACAAATTCAGGCAGTTTTGACCATATTATTTTTTTCAGTGAAGAATCATGAAGTTTTTTCAGCAAATAATATAGAAACGCTTCTAGTGACATAACTAAAATGTTGAATACATACGCATATTTACTTTTGATGCAAATTGTAGTAGTTTTTAAAACGAATTACATTGTAGTGACCCAATTTAGTATTTTAAAATTGGTCTATACGTTTAAGTTATAAGTTATTAATTAAACTTTGGAAATTAGTTGGTAATTGAACTTTGATTTGGGTTAAAATATTCCTTTTAAACCAGAATAAATCTATCATAAAAAACCAACTTAATTCATTAGGAAACGAGTGATTAAACTTAAAAAGGATCTTTATTAATTTAAACTTTCATTACTCAATCGAAGACTATAATCTTGAGCTTTTAAAATGTATACCGTGAGATATTTTCACACATACACACCCAAAGTATAATAAAATATAAAAAGATTAAATTCCAATCGTTCACATATTAGCTGCTCTATTTGTTACGCATTCGAAAACTTTTTTCCTTACGATTAGTTTCTTCTTCATTTTTAGTACAAATGAGTTCTTTTGTAAATGGTTTTAGGTTAGAAAGCAACATATTATCAGTCATTAAATGTCTAAGAATGTTAAAAGCGAAACTAAACGCTGAAGTGCTTTTTGGAGAATGTCGTGTGAATTTAAACGCGTGCTCAAACGTTCTTACTTAGCACGTTATCTATGTTTCAAAGCAGCATCTGCAAAAAACACTTCTGTTGTGTTTGAAGAGTTGAAATCAAATCAGAAAATATAACAAATAACAAATAAGGTGCAAGTACTCAAAAAGTTCTATTTTTTATGCCAACAATAGTGTGCTATTTAAAACTTCAAAATATAAAAGATAGAGTCGTATTAAAATACTAAAAAGTATTTTAAAGTCAAAAGTCTAGTAAAAAAAGTCTGTAAAGCATTTTTTTCTTCAAGGAATTCTTATTGTTTCAATACATTAAAACGCCAATATATTACATAGGGGAACAAACTTTTTTTAAATGTTTTTCGTTCCATGAAATTTCGTAACAAATCTTGCATATTTTTTACGCCGCTGATTTCAAACAACTTATGATCTAATTATCAGTTTTTACGTTCTCGCACTCAATTTTAAAGGCTCAAGGAGGTGACATCAAATTTGCTAATTAATAACTGCGTAATATATTTTTAGTTATGAAATCAGACACAAAAACGCACTTTTTCTAAATAAACATATCTTTTTTCGACAGATTCAGATTTCTAACCCCCAAAATACAGCCACAATCTGAGAAATATGGTCCCACTAGTTTGGTCAGGAGAGCGATCCAAAGTTTAGAACCCTCAATGTTAATTTTACTAATTGCGTACCCCGGTATATCGCAAGAAATTTTAAAGCGAATTAAAAAATTTGCACTCAGTTATAAAATATCTTTATCCAAAGACAAATCCATGCAAAAAATAAATTTCGGTGCATATTTATTATTATTTTTTATTTTTTAAATAAAGGTCGAAAATTTTTTAATTATAAGGTATACACCTTATTTAATCATTTTAAAGACTGTATTTTGCATTGCAAAATACAGAATTTGGGCAAAAACGATCCAGTAGTTCCTGAGAATTCTAATTTTAAGTATCTGATGGTCCGTTTCTTTGGCTCACTTTACAAGTTTAAAAGCCTTTTATATAGCAGAGGGTTACAGAAATTTTAGGATAAACATGTTGGGGAGTTAGGGTATGTCATCAGAATTAAAACTACTTGAGAACCCATGCCCGGAAATGTCATCATACGCCGTAAGGGGAGCTTTCCTGTTATGAACTGTATCTTCGTGTGGCTCTGAACAGGTTATATTAGTGAATGAACGCCCTTGGTCGCGTAAGACGACTTTTTCAGGCATGGATATTAATGCAATTTCAATCCTGATGACGTGTCCTTACCCATTCTAGTCATTCCTGTTCTATATTTTCTC